AGCGAATCAACCTCTCTCTAGTGTTGTTTAAACAAATTCTCTGTAATGTTTGCTTCAGAAGCTCAGCTGAAACAAGTGCGGTGTTTGACCAAATGACGATATTCTATAGCGGAAAAGTGAAAGTATACGATGGAATACCACCTGAAAAGGTAGATGAAACAGCATTATTCTGTTCAGCCGGAGAATATATAAACTGTGATGGTATGGTTTTGATCATGTACATTGGTTGTGTAGGCACGTTCCATCATGCACTTTGCAGCCAATCCAATCGATTTGCCTGAAAATGCTATATTTGCTTCTACTAGTATGATTTCAAAGCTCATGAGTAAAGGTAAGCTTTTGCTGAAGCGTCTCATTTGCTTTTCATTTGCTGAAGCGTCTCATTTGCTTCCAATTTTGGAAGTAGGTATGATTGAATGACCAAAGAAGCATGTCTATACTAGCTTATGTAGAATTTGCAGATGCCTTTTGCACCTTCTTGTGATAGTTAGTGATTCTATTTTCTTTTGTCAGAGTCGAGTTTGAATTAGCCGATGACAAAACTGAAAATGTGAACTATTGATTTCAGAGAAGATGATGGAACTTCCCCAATATGGTCTTGAAAAGGCGAGTGCTCTTCGTGACTCTGGTATGTACAGTGTTCATATTAACTTAATGATTCTGAAAGCACAATTTGATACACACTGCTTTCACCTGTACAACGCTATGCTAATCGTGTTTACTTGGAGATGGATAAACGTACTTGCTTGTTTAACTGTCTTTATAATGTTTTTTGGTCGTTCTGAAGATGTGAAGGGTCAGGCGAACAGAAAGGTCTCGTTGCAAAGATATCGCGAAAAGCGGAAGGACAGGTGCTTTAAATACTTAACGCTTAATTCCAAATCGCTGAATGCTCATATCCTATTCTTTATGTGCAGAAGATTCTTCAAGGCCAAAAAGACTCCGGGAATTGCATCCTCTAGCTTGGAAATGTTTCTGAATCTTCAGCCTTGGATTAACACTGCAGATTCACAAAACCTTAGGGGCACAGGAGTGGTCTTCGAGTCACCTGAAAATCAGACAAAAAGTCCCAATCTTTCAGTTGATCTAAACAGTGATCTGAACAGTAAAGGTATGAAGAATCATATAACAAGTTAACAACAATCTTGCAAAAAGCATTTGTTGAATGGATTCCCTTGAAAACTCTTCATCGGTTGGTTTCCAGACAATTAACAAGATGCACGAAACGCGGAGAAATGATAGGCGCTAAAGCTCGAGAGATTACTGAAGATTGAGCTGGAGAAGTCTTGTGATCGGTCTCTCATATTTTTGGTCTAGAGTTTTGAGTAGATTAGTAGATTAGTGATGGTGAGTTCTTGTTTCTGATTCTTTTTTTTTTAGGAGAGACAAGAGAGGGAAAATCGGTTTGTAATGTCATATGTAAATGCTGTTCTTATATGACACTTTTGATTAGAGACCATATCGCTCAAAACTCTTCTTAGCTTTGACACCAAACTTGACTAGAGACACAAAATGGTCTCAATGCACGTCAATGACTAGTACTGACCAGTCTTGGACCACCATTGATCTCAATGCACGTTAATAACTACTGACTTTGTATCACTTTTTTTTTTTTTTTGTCGTTATATAATTTTTAAAATTCAAGAAATGGGCCATACTTGTTAGCAAATTAAAGCAATAGGCCAAAACTTTTAAAATCATATATATAATTAGGGAGTTTTAAAATCATATATGTCTACATAGGCAGAACTATTTTTGAAATCATTTCAGTTTTAAAAAATATCATTTAATACACACTAAATCATATTTATTTGTTTTCTTATAACT